GGGGGGGGTTGGGGGTTCTCGGTGGTCCGGCGCGTGAACACCACCGGGGCGGGGTTCGCGCACCCTCTCGTCTAACACCTGACCCCTGTTTCGCGGTCTCGCGGGACTTAACGGAAAACCGATCGGATGTTAGCTGGTCAACACTAACTACTGTATTCCGCGTTGGCCGTAAACCGTGTGAACGAGTAAAAAATAAAACTTTCGAATGGCCGACAGTTATTTTGACGGATCGTGTCATGAAATCTTCATCATTTATATCGACGAAAATTTAATGGAAACGTTCACACGACGACTTGTTTTTTGTGCTCGTATTAAAATTATATAAGTTGAGGCAATTCTTTCAAAAGCAATCGATCATAATATTGTTATTGCTCTTGTACATTTATTATTATTTTTTTTTTTTAATTCCAATTTTTACTATTTTTTTTTTTTTTTTTAAGTTTCTACTTTTCTGAACGAAAGCGCACATTTTTAATTGTATTTTCAAATTAGGATATTTTTATAGGAATTATAATTGGAATTGGAATTGGAATTGGAATTTTGAACGAGTATTAGCTTATAAGTGTATTTTATTGTTCAGACCAGCGGATTTGATTGTTATAAGAGTATCCTATAAAATGTTGTAGTTCTACTACTCCGCTCGTCACATCGTTTCAACTTGAAATAATAATAAGTTATAACTAAAATTACAAAGTCTGAAATTCGGTTTTCATTTATTGACGTTTTTAGATATATACTCTGCTTTTAAATTCGATGTAAAAAATGTATGCTGTGATTTAAAAAAATATAAAATAAAAAAATATTTATATTATATAAATAAATATACAATTTTAAATTTGAATTTGTCATGAACTTAAAATATGTTATCAAAATAAATTATTAAATATTTGAATAGGTATTAAATTTTGAAAAACGTTAATGTTTTTCAATAAGTGTTTAGTTTTAAAAGAACCACATTGTTTAATTATAGGTACTGAATATTAAATGGGTTTTTTTTTTTTTTTTTTAAATGAATTGTTTTATGTTTGATAGAAGTTCATTCTGATAATTATTTGTTTGTTAATGTCAAAAATAGAGAGTTTTAAATTGATGATGACATTTTAATAGTAGCGCACGTAATTTTTTAATTCATAAATACTATGAAGAAATCAAAAAAAAAAAATTATGGGACAATATTAAATTTTTTATTTTTTATTTCTATCCATCGGGAAGATAAGTGTTATATTGTTTAAACTAAAAAAAAAAAAAAAAAAAAACAAAAAAAAACTGCCAAAATAAAATCAAAACGCAGAAATTTGATCTAATGTTTACCAGTAGTCGATCGGTAACAATAACGTTTCCTTAAATATGAACATCGAGTCGGTATTTTGTATTTTATTACCGGGTATAAAGTCATAGCACATAGCACTAAAACTGATTGGTTGACAGAATGTTGATTGGATGGGAGTTTTGTAGAGAGAAGAGCTTATGCTCGCTTACGGGCTATGTCAGTTCGGATGACACTGTTTTGTAACTAAAATATTACAATCATGACATGTAAATTCCTCCCATACATCTTCTCTATCGCTCAACATACAATTGCCTTAACAGCTTCAAATATTTCGAAGAGAATCGGACGTGCAAGACACGAGTACAGATGTTGTCGTTTCGATTCTGAGACAAGTAAAATGTAAACAATGTCAAATGATGTAGTACTCGGAAAATATTCATACTTATAGTTCCTAATATTATGACTCATTAGTCACAATAACACTACACCTGTTGTAATAATAACAACATTACCTACTTCTGTAGTTTTGATTAGGTCAAGCGTTTCGGTGTACAGTCCACACTAAAAAATCACTTAAGATATTTCGTGCGTGACATGATATAAATTTTTTACGAATGTCGGAATGTCGTGGGAATCACAAAAATAAAAAAAATAGTGCAAAAAATATTATTCATCCGTTAAAACCGTTATAGTATTATAAATTTAGATGGGGTTCAATCACTTGAAAATGTGTAATCAAGTGGAATTTTTTTTCTGACTTTTGGCAAGCGTTTAGGCTTTTATTATTATTATTTTTTTCAAAGATTCTTCCAAAAAAAAGACCACTCGGTTGGAAGTCATTAACAAACTTTTTTCTTTGGAATATAACTATTTAATTTTCATAAGCTTGAAAGCTTGATAAAAAAAAAAAAAAAAAAATGTTTATTTTGACCTAAATATTTGGCAATTTAAAGAGCGATTAGAGAGTTGTTAGTAAAGTGTAGTACAGTAATTGTTAATAATTTTTAAAGAATAATGATGGTGTAAATAAAGGTGAAATGTATATACTAAGAACAAAATAAAAAAATGTATCTATAATATTATTATTACATAATATTCAAATTAATTGAATTAATTGTTTATAATGTCAAACAGTAGTTTTACTTATAAACCTAAAATACTTCAGAGAATTATCAAAGTTTCAGTTACATAATATTATAATTTGGTTTACCACCGTGTTATGTAATTGAAGTTGTATAACTCGATTGAAATACATTGCATTTATTCAGTCATGTAAATAATTTACAGAATTCATAAAATAATTTATGGAATTCATGGCTGTATAATTTATTTAGACATGGTTCATTTAGACTTCAAAATGTTGTTTTATATTATGTTTAATTAAATCCTTTATTCTTAGTTATAATTACAAGACAAAATAATTTCAACGAAACTTTAAACTTGTATAATAACCGACTGTACCTAGTCTGTTGTGAAGGTAGAAGAAATAATTTGAAGCAAATATTTCTTTAAGTACTGCACTGACGAAGAATGATTTTCTATTGTAATTGATTTAAAAATACATTAAACACACTATTGCATGTATACCGTAAATAAATATATAAATTGATATTAATTTACAGCAATTCAAACTGGGAATGAAATTAATAAAATATAGCAGTAAGCCAGTAACCATTATGGAATTATATTATTTACCTGTTCTTGTAAGGCTACAAGTTTATCTTCGACATTAGCCAAACGTTCTTCAAACGCATCGTATCGGTTACTCATGTCTGATACGATTTCATAAACAGTGTTCTGCGTCTGAAAATATATAAATCATTATCCATATTTATTGTTATGGTCAAGGTAATTTCTTTTACTCACTTTGGCCATGTCTGTTATTGTATTTGCGTTGTCCATTAATTTTCTTTGGTCCATTTTTACTTTTCTCAACCTAAGGTAAATATGAAAATATTTATTTTAAACTAAAAACATAACACCCGAGCTTTATTCAGCCCACCGTCGAAGTATCGAGTATTATCTTTCAAACTGTTTACTTGAAAAATGTTCGCATTCAGTTGGAATACGATTGTTGATAAAATAAAAACTCTTGTTATCCCCTCGAGTGTAGTGCGGTAGTTTTAATTGAAGAGTTTAATTGAAAAAGGTTTGTGTATGTCGTGTAGTCGTTCATCGGGAAACTACTAGTATTTAATTATTACAAGCGCGTTGTGTTGGAAAAACTTATTATTTTTTATTCAACTCGATGAAATTGTAAAAAGAAAATGTATTTGACTATATACTGTGCGCTACAAATACAATAATAGAATGTTTGGAGACAAAATATGATTGAATTTGAACAATATAACGAACGCCATTTTACGACCGTTTTTAGTCACTTAAGTCAGTAATGATTTTTTTTTTGTCTAGAATTTCATTTAACGGTAGAATGACGTATTGGACGATATTGAATTTTAATAAACTTACGCGTATATGGCCAACAAAAATTTTCGTTGGTGTGTTCGAACCCTGCCTGCATTCACCCTTTTCACCAGTCTGGTGTGTTTATAGATCAGCCACGTCTCCCTGAGGACGTTGGCCGCAGCGTTTTTCAGCTGAAAATGAAATATATTTTTTATGAAAAAAAATCATCTATAATAATAGTATACAAATTATTCAATGTTATACTCGTTTTGTTAGTTGAGTATCCATCATGAAGTTATGGACATGTTTTTCTGCTCTAGACAGTTCCATCTTTCGTGACACAACAGCCACTAGAAGTGCTGTGCACCCGGCACCCTGGAAACATCATTTTAGCCATAGTTATTTAAGACCAGCATTGGTGGTGGAAATAAAATTGCAGGAAAAATGTTGAAGGAGAAAAACAACACACTACATTATAGTTAGTATAGTTGTCTATTTATTGTGTTTGATGATCAAAGCCAACATAAATTTGTTCATGCAAAGTTATTAATATAAGTTTGTGTGGAAGTTTGTTTTATAAATGATTGATGATGTTTAAAGAATAACAAAAACCGTAAGTGGGGTACATTTTTAAAATATATTTTTTGTTTAAGACGACGATGATGATATTATGATAGTAATAATAATAATAATAATAATAATCATAATAATAATAATAATATAATAGCTCTATTCATGCAATTTAAAAGGCTTTATGTACTAGTAGAAATTAATGCTTATTTTGATATTTTAATTAACAGTTAAATTTGTTAAAAGCGTAGTGTTTAACTCTTTTGTTTAACTCTGATGGAAAGTAAGGACTAGGTTACTGATGTTATCAGAAAAGTTCATTGGTGTGATCTAATTTTTGATGTCATAGTATTAGACCCACTGCTTAGTCGATGTTTAAATAAAATATATTATTTTGTTCTTTCATTCGTCCACGTAGAATTAAAATATTATTAGCTTGCTTTTTGCTAGATAGTTAGTAAAGTGGAAAATCAAAGTATGTTCCATTATAATATCAATGTGTATTTTGGAGTCGTTGTATTACAGTTACAGATGTACTCCATATCATCGAATAAATCTCGGTGTTTTGTGTTTGGATGTACACTTTATCAACCACTAAATACATTAAGTTTTCTTGTAAAAAATAATGGAGTGCACATTTTTTTATTTATTTATACAAATCAACAAGCGTTTGAATGCCCAATAAACCGTATATTATGTTCATGCAATATTAAACAAAGAAGTTCCTGTACAGTTTTACTTAAAAATAAAATAATATTACAACGTGCATCCCGGGTTAGTGAAAAATTGAAAAATTATTTACACATTATAATAATGCTAGTAGAGTTTTCGTTTAATTTTTAAAGCCCAAATATTATTTTCTTGAAACGTGAATGAGGCAAAATAGTGTTAGACAAAGCGTGATACATTTGACATTGCATGGCGATTAGGCATGTTTAGTGTTTTCATAAAAAAGTATACACAAATATTTCATACTATCCTGTTTGTCTTTATTTTTTAATTAATAAATTATCATGATATTATATATATATATATATATATATATATTATCTAACAACTATTTGTTAAATTATTATAGAATATAGTGGTATTTTCGAATTGAATGGGAGCTTGTATAATATATGTAGTAGTGCACCGAGACACCACATTTGCCTATCCAGGACGCCGTGTCACCGACTATAGTATATGTCTATACTCTATAGTATATGTCTATAATATATTTTATTGATAGTTACAATATGGTGTCTATACCTAAATCTAAGACAGTGCGTCTATACACGTAGTAGTGTCTAATTTCTAAGTAATTATAATAATTACAAATCATTGCAACAAAATTGTACAATATCACTTGTGATTTTCACAGCAGTATCAACAATGTTTTACATAAATTATGAAATATCTATAATATTATTGTATCTAAAGCGCTATTGAAACTACTGTACAAGGGCTTTATATATTTATAAAGCACATCTACGCGTTTTGCATAGTGTTCGGAATGTTGAAGTAAGACACTTGGAATTTGCATCATATGAGCGGTCCTTAAAATAATTGCTTTGAAACGCTTTTACATGTAATTATTATTATTGTTATATCAAAGGGATTCATATAAACCATGTTTGATGAAAAAGGAAGAATGTAAAGTTAGACAACAAAGTATAATATATATAATGTATATATATATATATATTTAAATATAGCGTAGTTTTCTGTAAGTAAGATAGATGGTATGTGTCGGAGAATATTCATAATTTTATTTGAATTACTTTTTTTAGAAAAATGTTTACACAAACATTATTTATTTATTTTTTTAAATATGATCGTATTATTTTTTTTTTCTTTAGTTTTTCTAAAATAATATCAATTTTTAATTTTTAAATGTAACATATAATTTTAAACATCATAAATCATTATATTATGTATGTATAAAAATGTCAATTTATATGTAAATATGATATTAGACTTATTATTTATTAAACATGAATGTATATTTATCTAAATATTATTATAACTTATAACCATAAACAATATCAGATAAATTATAAATTTATTTAAATATTTTCAGAAAATAGTTTATTTTAAAATGAAAAAATGAAAATTATAATTAGCTTCATAAAATTTAACTATTATTATAACTATTAAAAAGACTATAACATTATTAAAATTTTAAAAATGTACAAAGCATTTAAATATTTTATTAATAACTTTAATAAATAAATATAATTTTTAAATTATTTTATCTCATAAGATATTATTTCTAATTTATCATAATTTTTTTTTTAATTTTATGTGTAAAATATAAGTATAAATGTTTGACAATAAGGTACAGTAATCTATATTATATGATTTTATACGTGGTCTTAAACTAAAAAGTTTATTTTCTATAAATCCCTTAAACGCTAAGGGTATAATGTTATCAATCAATTTATCTACTCTAAAATCTAAATCCACTTGGATATTGCTCAACAATATTTCTTCCTAAATTAATTTAATGCATTTTCCAAGCAAGCACGCTAGAATTTTTAGATGCCGATAGGCTGGATAGATTTTTTGGTCACTAAATTTGAGGCCACCTGAATATTTGTTTGGTTGTTCTGGAGTCGGTCTTACCATTATGCCAGTGGTGACTGCAATGCCACGACCGCAGTAAGTGTTTGGCACTATGTCTCCGAAGCCCACGCTCAGGAACGTGATCGCTATGAACCACATGGAGTTCAGCAGGTTAGCGTGATCTTCATCATGAAACCTACAGAGCCCCAGACACAGTGTAGTATTGATCACAACCCAATCCCAGTAAAAAAATTAAATTATAAATCATAAATATTACAATATTTTTTCCGAATCGGAACGCGATTTAGTATCTTATCCTATCGACTCCAAAAACACATCGATATGTACAGTTTCCGTATCGAAATCATTTCTAAGATGCGTAAAAAAAGACAATAACACAATTTTAAACACGAGTTTTTCCATTTGTTTTTGGCGTGTATGACAATACTGGTTGAAATACATTAAACGAAATTTCATTGCTTCGATTGTTTATCAGCCTCAGGGGCTCAGAACTATGCGTTCTAACCCATTTATCCAATTACGAAGACATAAAAAAAAAGTTTTGAAATATCAACACGAGTTTAGGAGTGCGTGTATTTTCTGTTTCATAGAAGATCTATTTCGAAACATGACTTATTTATCCGTCTTTGAAGTGAAACTTCATCGTATTTCAGACAAAACGAATTTGTTAGACGTAAAAGGGCCCCATAAAATATAAACATATGTACAGGGTGTCTACACTTTTGATATTTTCTAACAATAGATTTCATAAATAAAAAACGATTACCCTGTGATACGATATCATAAAATAATGTATATTGAATAAATTATACAATGTCTTAATGACGTTAAATTGTTAGGTTAAAATTTATTCTTGCAAGTTATTAAATCCAATATATTTTAGGACGTGCTTAACGTTGGTTGAGCTAATTTTTTATTATACATTTAAGTTTTTTACGCTAATTTTGGACGGATGAATGAAAAATTTACATCATAAAGTGTTTAATGAATGTCAGGAATTAAATTACACCCGCACTTTTTAAAATAGAAACCATTTTTTAATTTATTAAAAAAATATTATTACTGGACACAAGTGTAGAACGTATGAAAGCTTTCAATTCAATTGATTCCCAATGAATGTAAATAGCTTTTTAAAGCATATAAAGTTCTAAAACTTTGTGTCGCGTCTACAAAGTTAGCAGAAGCTCGTGCCAGGACATAATTAATTTACGGCGGCGGCAGTGGCTATGGCAGTGTTGGTTGGGTGTGTCCCCTATTAAAATTGGTTTACGATCGTTATTATTCGAAATATAAGCTTAATCGAATTATGTGCGACAAGAAATTTGGGTGGGAGGAGGGAAATTTAAAACGACTTTTCGGATTCGCTAACTACTCGGAAAACACAATGTTGTACAGCGTTTAAACGCGTGTATAAACGCGATTCTAATTTCGTAAGCTCCAGAGTAAACAGTTCGCTTTTAATTGTTAAAGTTAATTACATTTAAATTCAAATGTTCGTTTTTTTTTTTTTTTTTTTTTTTGTTGATGAACAGTTTTGAGTTATAATTCTCTCTTTCTCGGTTACGAGTAAGAGGTGGATTGGTGGTTGGTTATACTGTCAAAAGTAAATGCACACGATGGCGCTGTGTCTGTAAATATGTGTTAGTATATTTGTGTGTGTATGTAAATGAAGTGTAAGTGTGTGCACACACATTTATATGTGCGGGCGTTTATTATGTATTGTGTGTGTGTTCGTCATTATTAATCTTACCATAATACCGCAGGAGAGCGTGATGCCTCGTCCGCAGTACGTGTTTGGTACAATGTCTCCGTAGCCTACACTGAGTAACGTGATGGCTATCAGCCACATCGAGTTCAAGTAATTGGCGTGGTCCTCGTCGTGGAACCTGCGTGCAATATACAATGTCCATACTACTGGTAGGACAGTGGCAATGACGCTAGATTGCCTCTTCCGTTTACGCAATAACGCGTTCGATGATTATTATTGTTATTATTATTTTGTTTTAAACAAAATAAAGTATCAAATTATTTCATTTCAAATAAAAAAAACGAGATGGATAATACTACTTTTCAAACATATTATTACAGCTATTGATAACGAGCAAAAAATTCGGTTGAAGAAAATATATTATATCGAGGGATATATATATATATATATATATACTCGTATATACACATACACACACACACATATATATATATTTTATTTGTTTTATTGTTATTGTTTGTTCATTTATGTGAATTTATTATTATTTTTCTCACCTTAAAATTGTAATATAGACTAAGTATTAGTAAAGTATACAAAAATGTCCAAAACTAGGTCCTGGGAATTTTAAAATTCATCAATGACGCATGTAATGAATGTCATTAGGTTCGTATAAGATCGCAACATGGATATTTTCTCATGTTGGACAGTTGTAAATTGATAATTACTATGAAGTGAAAACTAATAATAGTTATAGGTAACTTAATTGAACAATCAGTCAACATACCAGCCCACTAAAAAAAAAAAAAACATTTTGTTAATTCTTAGAGATTTATTTTTTTTAAACAAAATTATTTGAATATTCTATTATTTGGTGAAATTAATGTTTATAATATGTTGTATTGGAAGTTATTTTAAAGCAAATATTCTGTATAAAGTTATGAGCAATATACATTTAAGTGTTTCTTTAATGTTATGTTTTATATATACATTTTATTTCCTTAATGTTTTAAACATCTTAATAATTTTTAAGGTTATTAGTTAATGATATACACATTAATAATATATAATTTTACATTTAATAAATTATTAAAATATATTAAAAAATATTAATAAGAATACCATTATACAGTTGAAGCAAATTATATGAAGTAGTTTTTATAGATATTTATTTTATTTTTTTACTAAAATTACGCTTTTCCTGTAAAATTGCGTATACCGTTTAAAATAGTATTGTAGTAGGCATGTTAATTTTGCGCATAGCGGATTTTTAAGTCGTTTTAAATTACCTACTTTAATTTGTTTTAGATGCTAAGGTGGAACGGTTATTGTGCCATCGCCACCATGACAAGGTTTCACTACAACTTTCATAATGATTCTAATTTAGACAATGGATAAAAATGTTTCATTAGCATTTACTGCATTTATACTGCATAAGTACTTGATGAGGAATTTCACTAGGATGATAATTAGATTTGTGGATTTAATTTTGACAAATTTATTACGAGAAAAACAATCGGAATTCGATACTAGCCTTGATATACATATTATGTATATGAGTGTATCTCGGTGGAATTTTAATGGAAATAAAATCGTCGGGGTCAAGGGTTCGACGATAAATTTTCGGTGAAAAGTCGAGGGGCAACAGATAATATTCATGTTAGTGGGGGAACAAAATGAACAACAGATAAACATTATTAATGAAAGTATAATAAAAATGATTATTCGTTTCTAAAAGTGAGTTTTGATTGCTGTTTTATGCGAACTCGCTCTCCCCCTATCAACTGGATCAGCGTGTATATTTTCGGTATTGTTATTTATTTTGCGGGTATTCACTGAGTGTATTTGTTTGTCTGGAAGAATAATTGCTCCCGAGAGTAATTTAAAATGGCTATAGATGAGGATATAAAATCGAACGGAAGGAAATCACCGGATATTAATTTAACAGATGAAAAAAACACAAACAACTGGAAGGAAATTGATAATTAAGATGAAAAGCATAAGAGAGTATCCTAATTTAGTAATATTCTACTTTCTTTCTTTATTACATAAAGTACCAACTAAGTGAAACAGAATTAAAAATAAAATCTTCCTCTTTATTCTCGTGGGCTGTTTTCCAAGCTCAAGTATACTTGAGATCTGAAATGACGCGTCAAAATCACTCGAAGTCAAAGTGTATATTAGGTCGACGTTTTGAAAACAAAAACTTAAGTATGACTGTTTTCATGGTCGTTAAAAATGTCATTTCGAGAAGAATAATTGTAAGATTGATGAAACTGCTTAATTTATAAAAATTAAGATAATGCTGCTAAATCTCAGACGTTAAATGTCTGCTTAGATACTTTAAAAATCATATAAAACCACCTTAAACGATTTATTATAGTATAAATAACTCGTTTTGTTTTTAAATATTTTCCTTTCATTTTTTTGAAGAAAAATGAATACTTTATAAATTAAATTATTAATTTTGTTAAAATAAGAAACTGTTAAAATTTTGTTTTTAGTTCTAAAATTATTTATAATATTATACCGTCTAATTAGTATTACAATAACTAATCACGATCAATTTATAATTTATTTATTTATAAATATTCTTAATTTAATTGTGTATATTGTTTTTATATATATATATATATATATATGCATTTTTTTATTTAGGGTCAAAAACTAAGCAGTTTAATATTGTTTTATTATTATTTAAAATATCACAAAATACTTAAACCTCAGAGCTTTCAAATTAATTTTTTATTAAAATTTAAAAGAATTATGAGTAAGAGATGGATATTTTGAGATTAGAGAATTTAAATATGCATGATCTATTTTGAAGAATACTTTATTAAAGTTTTGGTAAGAAAAAAAAACTTTTTAATGGTAAAACTCCGGGGAAATTATCAAGACCAAATAAGGATATTGTTAACTATAATAACTAAAAACCTATTTGTCTCAGTATAATATTTATAGAAAAATTATAACAATAACAGCAATTGATCACCAGTTACTACACTTTAGTATAACGTATGTAATATTTATTAAAAGTTGAGTTATTATTGGTTTTGAGAGTTTGCATATAAAAAAAAAAAATATTATTATGTAAATATTAAGATAACATGATTTGTACCATTATGTTTATATAAATAACATATACCATCTACATTAATTAACCACCCATTCTTCATAAATAATGTATTATTTAATTGTTTCAATATAACAGTAAAAACATATTTACGTTTGAAGCTGATTTATGAAAACAGAAACTCTTGTGGTTAGCACTTGACTTACGCATTGCTAATTTATATTAGAGTAATGTCATGTAATACTTAGAAGTGTTTATATTTGTATAAACCTGTTTGTCACGACAGATGTCTCCAAATTAATTTATCCCTCCTTTGAGCATTTCTACCCCTGTATGTATTTAGTCGTAGGACTAATATGACTAGTGTTTTAAGTAATATTTGATTTATTAATGTAAG